TAACATTCTCTTTTGTCCTTGACAGCCATTTGAAACTTCTTGGTCCACCATATTTCTTTATTAGGCAGGCCTCTACCTTTGACACTCCTATACTTCTTTGGTGGGTTTTAAAACCACCAGCCACTTCATTCCATATTGAGCTACTTTCTCGATTATATTTCTTCAAATCTTTCGCATTTAGAGTCACTTGTATTGCTCATTGCATGTTCCACCTCCTTGAAGTGGAATTTTTTGGTATTTCTTCTCCATATCTTAATAATGACATCAAATATCACTAACCTGTGTTGCTTAGATAGGCTCTCACTTAATAGACTTACAGTCCTTTATCCAAGTAAGCATTGATTATTTGAGTAAAATTTTGCACACTTCTAAAAGTTAGTGACAATGTAATTGAAGCAAGTATTTGATGATCCCAAATCAAAGTCAATCGCAAAGTTCAAAAAATGTTACCTGCTTTGTTCCAATCCCCAAAACCAAAATTCCTGGGTACTTTTTTGTTGCCAGAAGTTACCTTTTTCATGCTATCATTCAAATTCCTTCAAGATAAATATCTTATCTCGGTTCTTGACTTTCACATGCCCGTTCACATCTCCTCCAATGGAGATCTTATGTGACTATGGATTGCTTGAATCAACCTGCCCATGTGTTTCAAAACTGTTTTGGTGAATCAAATAGAAAAAGGAAATTAGTCCATTGAGAGACAAACAAAACAGCAAGTTAGCAACATATCATTAGCTTTTTACAGAAACTTGAAATGCATTGCAGTAGGGGCATGGTGTAACATAGACCCAGTTGCTTCTGCATCATTATCCTACAATGAACTGCCAAGTTCCTTCTGCATCATTATTAACTCATTTTGCTTTTCTGAGTGCTTGTGCATTTTGTGGATGCATCTGACATATAGTATCACTTGATGCTATCTCCAGGCCACAGCTACTACTTCAATCCTACAGGGCGCTTCTGTTCAAGAACAAGTAGATGAAACAGCTTCCCAGGACAGTAACTCTGATACAGTTGCAAAAACCCCACCTCTTAAAAATAGTGAGCTCAGTTCTTCTGCCCCACAAACACCATTAGGAAGCCAAGCTAATCCTGGTACTAAAATGGCTCAACTTCAACCTTGCTGCTGAATCAGCTCCTTTGTTATTCTTTCAGGCCTGAGTCCCTTCTGTTTCTCTAAAAGTTGCAGGTGTGGTTGTTGATTCACCTGCAGTTACCGTGTCAACTGTGGCAGAGGAAGAGGAAACCGTCCCTTGTCATAAACCATCCATAGCTCTTCCTGAAACTGGATTAAGGGCTGTTAGTAGAGGTGCTCTGTCCAGCCAACCTTCTTCTACTATCCCACTTAGTTCTGGTACTACAATTTCCAGCAGTGGAGCCCTTGGAGCTCTCCCTTCAGCTTCTGAAATGGGGAAAAGAAACATTTTGGGTCCTGATGATAGATTGGGGAATGGCAGTATGATGCAGTCTCTTGTTTCCCCTGTGGGTAACAGAATGGTCTTGCCACAAGCTGCCAAGGCTAATGATGGACTGGGCTCAGCAGATACTGGTAATGCTAGTGAGGGTGGAGTTATGGGTGGCAGGGTTTTTTCTCCATCCGGAGTTGCTGGTATGCAGTGGAGGCCTGGAAGTTCCTTTCAGAACCCAAATGAAGCGGTATATGCAATTTTCTCTCATCTCTTTTTTGCTTTGCATTTTGTGCATCTTTATAATCTCAAAGGGAAGGGATGTTCTAAAATTATGATTTTTTACTATTGTTTGTTTTCTGCAATCCATTCATATATAATCGTATTAATATTTCTCTGGATCTTCAGGGGCAGCTCCGTGGCAGAACAGAGATTGCTCCTGATCAGAGAGAGAAGTTTCTGCAAAGATATCAGCAGGTACAGCAACATAGTCAGACTAATCTTCTTGGGATGCCTTCTCTTGCAGGAGGAAAACAGTACGCCACTCAGCAACAGAACCCACTCTTGCAGCAGGTGCTCTCTTTGGGGTTCCTTCATGCTGTTTCCTGCCTTTTACGTTGCGTTTGCATTCTGAATTTTGTTTTCTTCCTCTTCTGTACCAAGTTTTGTGTGAACGTTTAGACAACAAGTTTATTTGAAGTTGGATGGAATTTGATTTATTGGGATGAATATATGAATCCTGTGGGTTATTCCTTACATATTTTTTGACGGAACATCACTCCCTCCAACACACACACACACACACTGAGGATTATGTATTCTTTGATACATTCAATGTTAGGAATTTTGTCTGACCACTTTTTTCACTTACATACGCTCATACGATTGGTTAAATTTCAGAGTCATCCTCTGATATCTTTTAAATGGGGGCATTGTAGTTTATTGAAATTGTTTTTAGGCAAAACTGTAATCTTTGGGAGCTAAGTGTTATAGACAGATTTACGGCATCATTGCAATTTTTTTATTTTTTTATTTTTTTTAACGACTCCCAGTACCTTTTCAAGTCAATATAATGAAGAGTGAAGAAGATTTGGTATAGTGCAATTTCTTAGAACAAAGTGCTTATGAGCTATGGGTCTTTTGGAATATCTTGATAATAAGTGGGTAGTAAGTTGGGGGTCCTATGAAATTTATCGATAAAAGTATGTTTGAGTAACTTAAATTAATAAATTATTATCAAGGGTCTGTGACAAAGCTTTGATAAATTTTTTGGCTGATTTTGATACAAGTTAATGAAGTGTGTGGTTGAAAGGCTGAAATAAGTGGGGTCTTATGAAGTGTGTAGTTAAAATTGAAGTTTGACCGGTTGAAAAGTTGATAAAATTTTAGCCAAGTTTTAAAACAAGCAATAAGCTTTGCCAATCATGTTCAAAATCTTTTCCATTGGCTTTCTCGATGTATGAAATTTGTGCTTGACATAATGTAATAATTTCAGTTCACTTCTCAAAGCTCATCAGTCGCTCCTCAGCTTAGTTTGGGAGTTAGCGTCCAAGCTGCAGGTCTTAACAATGTTATATCACCCACTTCATTGCAGCAGCAGCCAAGTGCAGTCCATCAACCATCTAATCACCAGGCGCCAATGTCCACAATATCTAGGGAGGCTGGTAATTTTTTATTAATTGTTAGAGTTTATGACCTTCATATTTTTTATCGTGTAGCGGTTATGGCACTTAACATGCCAAAGCTTTGAATATTGAGTTAAATCAATTTTTAGATTTGATGTTCATTTGTGACTGATTTTGTTTCTTGTTCCAAGAGCTCTATCCCTCAATCCGCAAATGCTTCTCTTTAAGAAGACTGCTCACATAAGAGAAATTTTATTCGTACTATCCCTAACCTGAGCTTCATGTTACTCCTGCCAAGTGACATGTCAAGTCTAGGGCATCCCAATTGGATTGTCTGAGATGACAGTTTCTCATTCCTAATCTATAAAATCATAACTTTAAAAATAAAAATAAAAAAGAGGGAAAAAGAGAATTCACTTGAGAAATCAAAGACTGTTTGTTAGTACCTTTTAAGTGCAAGCTCCCAAGTTGCTTTGAATGGAAAATGAGTATATTGTTTGTTCTTAGGGAAAGGCAAATGTGAAGCACAATACTTGAGATGTAAATATCTATTTTGGTAACTTTTTTGTAGTCCAGAAGTTCAAATAATTCGAGAGACAGGTCAGTTTTGTATCTTCAGCTAATTTTAGACCAAATCTTTGGTCTACGCCATTGAAGGAATTCCATGAAATTTTATAACTTCTTCTCGATAGCCCATATCTTACTAATTCTGCTAAATGCGATAATCATACTATTGGCACAATTTCTGGGGAAAAATATCATGATTATGAAATTAAGCTTGGTATGGGTATACAAATATATGTGATACGATACTTATTTATATAATAAATATCATTGCTATTAGTTTCATTTGCCGACATGATATCTTGTGATACCAAGCATTAGAACCGGCAACTATGCCCATTCTTTTAATATTCATCACTAAAAGGAAATTTACGGGCACAAATCCCAGGATATGTTGCAAAGTGTTTTCTATTGTTTCGGCTAGAATACAACGTGAATTGTAGCATCTAAAGTCATAAGCATGTGGTAATAATCATGAGATCACTGAATTCAATAAACTTATTTGGAAGGTTATTTGGCCATTACACCATCTTTTGATGATTGGATGTCGTTTGTAAATGTGTAGATGCAGGACTCACAAAAGTTGAGGAGTTGCCGGAGCAACAAGCTATTTCTGAAGGATCAGCAGCAGAATCTGGTTCAAACTCTGTGCTTGGGAAGAATCTCATGCAAGAGGATGAGTTGAAACATTCTTACACTTTGGATGCACCTGTACGTTTAAACATCTTTAGTTTCCATTTACAACTGCGGAGGGACCTATTATCGATGATGTACTTGAATTCCTCGTGTCTTCACAATGTGTAGCATAGATGCCCAGATCTTTGGCCCTCCAACACCCCCAAAGTGAAAATAAAAATGAAATTGACTTTAGGGTGGCAATTGCCTCGAAATTCATTGGTTTTTCTTATGGTATTCAATAACTTGGTTTATTCATACTGCAGTTATTTTGGTGGTGTTGTTATGTTATTCTCTGTCAAACAATGATGCAATCAACTAAGCTGCTGTTATTTATGCAGCAAGCTGGAGTTGCTGGCTCACTTGCTGAAACGTCTCAGGTGATGAGGGATACTGATCTTTCTCCAGGGCAACCTTTGCAATCTAATCCACCTTCTGGAACTCTTGGTGTTATTGGTAGAAGAAGTGTCTCCGACCTTGGTGCCATTGGTGATAGTATCACTGCGTCAGCTGCAAATCCTGGAGGATTTCATGATCAGTTGTACAATTTGCAGATGCTGGAGGCTGCATACTATAAACTTCCTCAACCCAAAGATTCTGAGCGTGCTAAGAGCTATACCCCAGTATGAAATTCACATTTGCCAAATTTTGTTATTCATTGATTTTTTTTTCTTCACTAAATTATCCAGTGTTTTCTTCTGCTATATACAGAGACACCCTGCAGTCACCCCTTCAAGCTTTCCTCAAGTACAGGCACCTATTGTCAATAATCCTGCCTTCTGGGAACGCCTTGGATCTGATACTTATGGCACCGATACTCTATTTTTTACATTTTACTACCAACAGGTTATTTGGATGTCTTATTTTTCATTTTATCTTTCATTTTTCCCCTCTCTCTCTCTCTCTCTCTTTTGGTTTTAAAGGTCTTTCATTTTTCATTGCATCTTGAATTTTTAGTAGTTTCAGTGGTTTTGTTTTCACATATGCAGAATACTTACCAGCAATATCTGGCTGCAAAGGAATTGAAGAAGCAATCTTGGAGATACCACAGAAAGTACAACACATGGTTCCAACGACACGAGGAGCCAAAAGTGGCCACAGATGATTTCGAAAAGGGGACATATGTGTACTTTGATTTCCATGGCAATGATGAACAACATGGATGGTATGTCTATTCAAACTATGGATGTCCATTTGTGCATTATACTCCATTTACTTATTGCAGAGTAACTCTATTGATTTCCAACCGAAAACCTTTAGAATCTCGCAATCTCAAGCACCGAGTCCTGTCATCATGTCATTACAATTACTAGCTTTAATTATTGAAAGCATTCACCCCTCAACTGAATAAAAATAGTTTCTTTGGCTTTGCATGTGAGTCTGCGAGTGTGTATAGTTTTATGGCGGACGAAATTCTGATCTCGTTTTAAGAAATATATCCTTTCATGCTTTTCAGTTACTTCTCTGTCTTTGCTTTTCTCAGGTGCCAGAGAATCAAGACTGAGTTCATATTTGAATACAATTTTCTGGAAGATGAACTTATCGTGTAGAATCTGAATATAGCATCTTCTACCCTGTCCATCATTCTATGCTGGTTCAAACCGTTCCGAACCCGCCCAACTTCAAGTAACATGTACGTTTATATGTTACTTTCATTGACACAGTATGGCCATTTGGATTTACAAATGTTATTTGCTTTTCTCAATTAACTCCATGGGGACTGATCAATGCATTTTATACTATGAAGCATCTTGATAAACCAGCTAATAGATAACCCTATTTAGTTAGTTGAACAATCATGTTAGCTTGGATAAAATTGTACATAAAAATAATTCTCATCTCATGAGACTTTTTAATACGATGTTTAATTAATGTGTTCTTATGCAAAGTTCGTTGGAAGATAATTGATGTGGACGTCCAATAAACCGTTCACTCAATGTATGCATACCATAATAATACATTTACATGAATCATACTTAAATCTTAGATCCATCTTAATCAAAGTTCGTTGAGAAGTAATTAATGTGGAGTGTTGATGGTTAATGAACCCTTCAGTAATACATGGCAGACAAATACCAAAAAAAATCGAATAAGAGTGCTATTGAAAGGGTCTAACAGCCTATTTGGGAGAGATTTTTTATCCCAAAAAATTAATTTTTTAACCGTTATTTTACTATTTCAATTGTAATTTGACTTTTTCTCTCACAAGTGGATCATACTTCTCTTTTAACGGTCAAAAAATCAATTATTATAATCCCTCCCAAACAGGCCTAAATATTGTTTGGATAAAATTGTCCTTGAAATGATTCTCATCTTTTGATACTTTAGTCCCTGCTTGGTCCTCATTAAAATTATAATTTATTTCTCTCTTTTCTTATTAGTCACATATTTTTTAATAAAATAATATTATACGTAATTTCAAAAAATTTCTTCATTTTTAACCACATTCTTAAAAATAATAATAATAATAATAATAATAATAATAATAATAATAATAATACTATTCCAACTATTCAAATTTTAAATAATGGGGTAATTTTAAATAATGGGGTCAAACGGGGGTTTAGTATGTTTTTTAATTTGATTAATCTGCACACCTTTACTAATACATTTAGTGCGTATGAATATATGTGAATCACACATGGGCAGATTTAGGGGGGATTGGGTTGGGCTACAGCCCGTTCCAGCCCCCAGCCCATTTCATTTTTGCTATGAACAAAAAAATTTATGTAAAAAATATATTTTTTGTGTGTAATATTTTTTTACTTTTTTATTTTTGGGCACATTAGCACGGCATGAATTTTATTTATTTATTTTTTGTTATTTTTTGTATGATCTTGAATCCACCCCTATTATTACATGAATGCATTTATTGTTGAGGAAATTATGCCACACTCCTATTTTTTAATAAATATTTTTCACGACCAATCTTAGGTCCATCATATAGTTTGTTGGTAGATAAATTCAATAAACTCTTCAATATATGTATGAATATGCGTGTCAATCAAATAAAACAAGTAGTCAAGCAATATTAGAAATAATCTAACTATGACTTGTAACAAAACTATCCATAAAATGATTCTCCTCACAAAATTTTAATATGCAATTTAATTTGTGTATATATGTATTACATTTAGCACGTAAACGTGCACCACATTAATACATTTATGGTGTGTTTGATTACATTTATTTTCTATGGAAAATATCAGTTTTTCACCCAAATTCCTACTTTGAGTGTTTGATTGCTATTTTTTTTTATGGAAAATATTTTTCAATTTTTGAAAATATGCCTAATTTTCCTTATTTTTAAGGAAAATATTTTCGTTGGGTAGAGGTGGTTTTTATTTTCCACAAAAGATGGAAAATATTTTCTTTTCTAGGTAATATTTTTCATGTCAATCAAACACACTCTTAGTATTACATGAATTATAACCAAATCTTAGAATCATCGTCTTATTGAAAAATTCATTGGAAGATAATTAATGTGAAGTGCCGATGTTCAATGATGAATCCTTCAATAAATGTATTTACATGAATCATAAATGACCTGAGGTCTATCTTTTTATTCAAAGTACATTTAAAGATAATTAATGGAGAGTGTTGACGTTCAATGAACTATTCAATAAAATGTATGAATATACATGTCAATCAAATAAAAAAAAAAAATTGAAAAAAAATATTGTTTAAATAATCTAAATATAGCTTGTATAAAATGTCCATAAAACGATTCTCATCCCATGAGACTTTTAATATGTTGTTTAATTAATATATACACGTCTATTAATACATTTAGCAAGGTAATACATTTAGTATGTACATGAATCATAACCAAAACTTATATCCATCTTCTTATTCAAAGTTCATTAGAAGATAATTAATGTGAAATGTCGATACTCGATGAACCCTTCAATAAATGTACAAATCCGTGTGTCAATCAAATAAATGAAAAATTGAAAAGAGTACTATTGGAATAATTCAAATATAACTTCGATAAAATCGTACTTAAAATGATTCTCATCTCTATTAAAGATTTAACTAGAATTACCTGCATGCAACCTAACAAAGTCATCTTTGCCTCCATGAAACCTTATCAACATGTTTGATATTAAGGCATAGAGAATAAATTAAAATTTTATATTTTACACTTTCAAATCTTATCTAAGTAATAATGCAATACTAGTTTATCCTTAAACTCTAATCGTGTTCTTAAAAAAATAATAATAATAATAAAATTCCCAAGTGGTGGTGCTGCTTGTCTACTAGTGGCCGCTGAATCGAAATTTGGATATTAATCTCACTATCGAATTATTCAGTATAAGAATTGAGAAAAAAAAAATTAATATTTAAGTGCAATTGATTGGCTAAACTCTTTCAAGATAAGGCAGCCAGCACTGCCATGAAGAAAACTGATAAGAATGAATGGCGTGTACGAGATGATTTATGCTCTATGTACAGAGGGGTTGACAGAACTCCTTTAGATTAGACACATGGGGTCCACCCACTGTTTCTGATCCGAGAATCTCATCTTGTACGTGTAGCCTCTTTTGTACGAGACATGTTTGAAAGATTAATGAATAACGACACAAGTTATTGTCGATTTTTTGACAAGTTAAAAATTGCTTCTAGATTTAGAAAAAAAATTTTATTTTTGTGACGGAGAAATTCGCAACCGCTACCCTTCAAGTGCGCACTGGATAAATCCTCTGACTGACGCAATAGCTTACAAATTACGCCAATTAGGTAAACCGCGCTAGACAAGCCCTATGCAACAAACTTAACTGAGAAAGTGTTGGTAGGGGAAATCGAACTCGTGATCATAGACCTTTGTGCTCACCCATTCCACCAACTCAACCACCCCATGAGGGGCTAGAAAATATATTTTGAATCTTTGTTTGGATGAAATAGTTTGTAAAGAAAGTTTTAAGTAGTTTCTTCATAAAAGTCTTCCGCAAGACGCAAAATGAAAGTAGAAGCTTTAACAAATAGGTCCTTAATATCAGTTTACGAAATAGTGAAGTATCTAATTAAACAACATGTATTTTAAATTCATTAAATAATTAAAAATCCTGCAAATTTTTTGGTTACAAATCGTTGATATCTCTTATAAACTTAGAAATAAAAACAAATGGAAATATTTATCAGGGAAAAATTCGTAACTTGATAAATTACTACATTCTCAATCGCTAATAAAAGTTTGCAGCCGAATACCAATGAATTGTCATCCATAAAAAATAAATGCATTGATGTAATAGATTGTTGTCTTTAGAGATGACATACACATTTCTGTATTTTGACGTCGTCTTTAAAGAGTTCCTTCACACGTGTCACATTCAGATATTAGTTAGGAGGAATTTGTCGAAGACAACATTTAAATAAATTCAGATTTAATATTTTAGATGAGACGATTACCAATTGTAGTGTGTGAATGTGTGGCGTGATTAGTGGAAACTGATGTTGTGAATGTGTGGTGTAATTAGTTGAAAAAATTGGGAATCTTTTTGACATTTAGACATTTAGATACCAACAAATTCTTTTGTGACTCTGATACTATATTAAAATTATAAATTTGAAATAAACGAAATAGAAATATTGAAAGAATTGGATAATTTATGCAGTTTCAATAAGTATATGACTATTTTTACAGAGTTAATAATTGTTTTTCATATCCTTATTTAGTACTAAATAGGATCTTGAATGTGGTAGAAATAAAGAGAGAACAAAATAGTAGTGTTCTAAAATGTGTGCATATGCTTGATAACGTCATATATATGAGGTATGTGTGTGATGATACTGTCAACCCATTTCGTTGACCACATATGCACACTTAAACAAAACTACTTTAGCAAATCTCAACCCATTTTTATAACTTTAAAAAAGGAAATTGGGCCAAACAAACATCAAATTAACCCAAATCACTCAAATCCATAAAATTGTATACAACAATTTATAGGGATTTGATGTTTGAAAAAAATTCAAAAATAAAAATAAATTAAGTAGTTAAGACTTATTGAATTCAATTTATAGACAAACAAAATCAAAATGATTGTCTATTTTAAAAAAGCGAGCATCTTTAACTTTCGACAACTTTTAGAGAACTTTATTAGCTTTCTTTAAAAAAGTTTTTTAAGGAATAGAGCAAATTGATTGTCCATTTTTAAGAATGACACATCTCAAATTGATTGTCTATTTTGATATTGATCCCATAGAATGAGTGATTAAAAGTGAAGAAAATCGTAAATTTAATAAAATGTATGATTAAAAATAAAATTTCAATGATTTAAAAAGTTAATTTTTTTTTAACCAAATTGAAAGCTTAAAGCGTTTCTCTATTTTAGAGAGTCAATTCTCTTCTTGATATGTTGAATATGCTTTTCATCTTCAAAAATTAAAATAAAATTTGAATTTGACTATCTAAATCCAGAGTGCCGAATTTGGTCTCGATAAAATCCTTCATTTATTATTGTACTTTTTTTGTCATTTTTTTTTCTACAAAATAAAAAATAAGGGAAGTAATACATTAAAAAAGAGGGAAGTATTGAATAAAAGAAGAAAAATGATGAACAATAATTGTTTATGGGAAAAAGCAAAAATAATGAATGAACACAGAAAGTTATTTTTAAAATTTCCTTAATATGCACTTTATATGGACAAAAAATTAAGTAGGACAGTCTTCTGTGTGGAGTGATTGAACTGTCCACTTAATTAATGATACATAATCATTTGTGTCGTAATTAATATTTACTCAATTCTCTCTCTTATTTATTTTAAGTATCCACCCAAATGAGTTTGGGCTCTATTAAAATTAATTTTTAGAAAAAAAGTATTTTGGAATTGAGATTTTTTGGAGAATGTGTTGTAAAGAATGTGGTTGAAAAGAAGCAA